CAATTCCACAAGACCTATGAGTAACCAAAGTTGCGTTAAATACTACAGGGGCATCTTTAAACACGTACCTAATCCAGGAATTGGATATGGTTTTCAGAAAGCCAATAATATTAAACTACAGTTATCCTCTTCAATGTATGTGGTTTGGGAAATTGTATGTTGAGTGATTTTTTTTGTCTGGGGGTGCACACTGTCTCAACATTCTTCAGCTGAAAAGCAATTTAAAACTGTTTTAAGTGTGTGTTACTGCACAGCTACTACATTTTTATTATTTGAATCTTTAAATCAGATAATAAATGGTCTTTGATAAAATACATACTTGTTGAATGAAGGTTTGTAGCCGCATACTCACATTGTCTGTTTAAATTGAAATGCCTAATTAGTGTGTTAAACGGTAATGTGGTCTGCAATGCACTGACTGCCATGTCCAAAGGGGCATAAATGTGAAAGATGACTTTAGCCTTGGGAAGCTATTTTTTTCCAGTCACTATCTATTACCAGTGAAGAAGGATTTGGCAATCTGAATCCCCAGGGGTTGGTGGGAGAAATCACCTTTCTCTCTACATGATAGCCTGAGCATCCCTGATGGTTAGCCTCTGTGGACTAAAGTTAGTCTGTGAATTTGCTCTCCATGTTTATGTTATGATTCAGCTAACTAAACAATTTCCTTAACAAACAAACAAACAAAAACAAAAAACCAAAACAAAACCACAAACAAACAAACAAAAACTAAAAAAAAAAAAACAAACCAACAAAACCAAACAAAACCCACAATCATAACCAACTTGGATAAACAGGGAACTCTTAAGACAGCTCCAGTGCAGCTCAACCTGTACATGTACATCTGACCCAATGAAGATGCTGAGAGAGTAGGCTGATGTCATTGCAGAGATGCTGTCTATCATCTTTGAAGGATCATGAGGACTGGGGGAGGTCCCAATTAACTGGAAAAAAGCAAATTGTGCACCCATCTTGAAAACGGATGAGAGGGACAATCCAGGGAAGGCAGTCAATCAGCCTTATCTCAGTCCATAGGAACATCATGGAGTTGGTCCTCTTGAAACTTATTTCTTGGCACATGAAGGAGAAGGTGATTGGGTGTAGCTAGTGTGGATTTACCAAGGGTAAATAGTGCTTGACCAATGTGATTGCCTTTAATAATGAGATGACTAGATCTGTGAATGAGAGGAGAACACAAGGGGGTCACCAACCTTGACTTTAGTAAGGCTTTTGACCTTTTCTGCGACACCATTCTTGTGACATAGTCTAGATGGGTGTACTGCTGGATGCGTAGGAAAACTGGATCGTCATGTATAAAGGGTAGTGGCTAAGGGTTCATATTCTAGTTGGAGTCTGGTTACAAGTGGAGTTCTTCAGGGTCCATCTTGTTTAATATCCTTATCAGGGACCTAGAGAGGAGATGGAATACGCTCATCAAGTTCACAGACAACTCCAGACTAGGGGGTGCAGTCAATATGCGCGAAGGCGTATTCAGAAGAACTTAGCCTGGAGGGATGGTCTGATAGGAACCTCTTGAAATTCAAGGACGAATGCTAAGCCCTGCTCCTGGAATAGGCTAACCTCTTGCAGTGGTACTGGCACCTTGATGGTGATGAAGACTAACACTGGTCTGCATCAATGAGAGCACAGTCAGGATATTGAGGGAAGAGATCGTTCCCCTCTGGCACTTGTTGGACAAAAGCCCTGAGCAACATAGTGTGAATTCAGTGCTAACCCTGCTCAGAGGAGGAGCTTGGGCTAGGGGACCTTCCAAGGTTCACTCCCACCTGTTATTCATTTAAATTACATTTAAGGTTCTCAAAATGTGTGTTCAAGTGTTCAGGTTGTTACTTGCAAACCTTCATGTGTAATCCTGAAGGACTGTTCCAGGAGATTTACATATAAACAAAGATGTTTAGTATATTCATTATTATAAAATTGTATTGTAGCAGTATAGTAGGGTATGATACAAATTTTTTTTTCAGTGATTCTTTTTTTTTGGTGTTCATTCCTTTGAATCTTTGGAAAATTGGTTAATACTTGTTCCTTAGTTCCTCATCCACAAAGTGGGGATAGCACATCTTCTTTGTCATGCTTTCTCACCCATGTAATCCTCGGTTTTGAAATCTCTATTCTGCCTCTGAGCCCATTCAGTCTAAATTTGTGTCTTTGCAGAGTCAGAAAGTTCATATTTTTCCAGATCACTTGCATTGTGTACAGATGCTCCCTCACTTTGTAGGTCCCTGATCTCCAGCTGCACTGCAATACAAATGTACTTTGACACATGAATTTCTCTTTGCTTTAGCTAGCAAATCAGTTAATGCAAGTTAACTGTAGTTGGAGCTGTGTTGTCTATTACAAGTTTTCAGTGTCTTACCCGCTATAAATGTTTTTGAATTGAAAGGCTCTTCCTGAAAATCACTAGTTGCAACTGTTGACCAGTTGCATGCTTATGTTCAGAGGTGACAAGCGGCATCTTCCCCTTTGCCGGAGATGCTCTGTCACCATGCTGGCTCATTTTCCGATGGCCAGTCTCTTGGTTCGCTTCATAGACAATAGTGTGGAACAAATTGTATCCTTTTCTCAAATGAAAAGTAAAACTTTAAGTAGCCCTGGAGTCTTAGACCTTTTTGTTACAAATATTTAAAGGGACACCGGTAATCCGTGAGATGACAAACTGAAAGAGAATTATTTTTGTGGCTTTTCCTCTGGCTTGTCTGTTCTGTACACTTCACCACATTTCGGACAGTCGTTTTCATTGATTGATGAGCTGAACACATCCTTTTGCATGCTGTGCGAGGAGTTTTGGTGTGCAAATATACCAATTAATCAAGCAAACTGGAAAGGGGGATAAATACTGCAAGCACTAATGAGGAGGGTCAAAATACAAGGGATGTATATAGTTGTTTGGGTTTTGTTTTTTATTGGACAGCAGCGGTTTGCCAGTGCATTAAATTAGTAGGCAATAACTCATATGGTGTACGTCATGGTTTGCTCTATAATCACTTTACATTATGTAAAAGCTTGCCATTAGCTGACCTTCAACCTGTTCAGGGATTGAACAGAGTTATTTCCCTCCTTTACCAATGTCATTTGCAATTTCTTTAAAGCTTGCCTATTTCTAAAACCACTTTAATTTTGATTCATCTGGGGATTAGATCCACTGTGAAGTAATAATAATTTTAATAATTATTGTTGCTTTCAAGGACTTAGAAACTGTTTTTCCTCAGCTGAATTCTTGGATTTAAGTGTTGTGGGAAATCGTGTAGTAGTGCTTAACACTTTCGTGTTCCCAGCTTGCGCAGATTTATTTCAAGCATTAGCATTTTTGTAACTTTTGGGAGTAGAGACTGTGACATTTAGAGATAAGTCTGTAACATAAGTAACTTAAAGCTGAGCACTTCCAGTTTGTATGCTATAAACTAATAACTTGTTCAGTAGTGGTTATATTCCTTAGTCAACCTTAGTGTGCTTCTCTCAGGGTTTGCTGCAGGGAAGCGGACCAAATGAAAAAAGGCAATAGGATGGTGAATTGGCGTAGGTTTGAAATGGAAGTGTAACTGAGGTTCTTCCTATCTCCTAGTTGCTGTAGAGAAGAGGTCTGTAAATGCTTCTAATTTATTACTGTGGATGCAAGTAAAACTTGGAAATTTTAAAAATTGTAGTATCACAGGTTTGCTGTGAATTCTTTTGCATTCCCTTTTTATTAATGTTTCTAGTTTGCAGCTAGTTTTTTGGGGGGATATGCTTTCTTTAACATATAACTTCAAAAATTATATTTTCTACTCCAGACAATTTAGAGGACTGCTGTTGCTAAACCTTCTTGTACTTTAATTGTTTATTGCCTTGTTTTAAATTTACATTGCCAAATTTTGATGGTACAAGTGCTGCCTTAACAGAACTGTTAGTGACTGTTGGAAAAGCACAATGCAGCACACGCAGTTGTGTTCACACAAAGCAAAGAATAAACCTCTGTCTGTGAGTGTTCATTGATTTCAATAGGCTTTTCAGTAGCTCTGCATATTACAATTCTTAGCACCTAGAATACATTCATATTCATTACGGCAGTACAGTTCAGCCCCTGCTTGTGACTTGATTCCGCCCCCCCCCTGCCTTCCCCTCTTCTACCGGAGCATGAAGTAGAATTATTTTTCTAGTCCTAGTAATGTGTTCTAGAAGATGTTACGGCTCTTTTCTCAGAATGATTGAAAATGCATCTTTCAGCTTCTTCCATCTTGTAAGAAACATGTTAAATACTAGAAATACTTAAAGCTTTTTGGAATCTTTCGTGATGACCCTTGTGGCTGTTGAGACTGTGAGGTGCTGGGCATGTATGGCATGCAATCGTTTGTATGAACAATTAGTGGAAGAACTAATTGGTATGTAGTAGTGCCATCTTTTAAAAATATGAGTACTTGCTTCTTTATTTGAATGTATGGAGGATGGGGGGATTGGTTCTTTGGATGCTAGAAATCTGTTTAAAATGCTTTTTTGTTTGCTTGTAACTTGGCTTTATTATTTGAACATTTATCATTTAAATCAAATGGTTTTCAGTAGTCTGAGTACCCATATTTTATTGTAAGAAATCATACTTATCCATCTCTTGAGTTTAGACTTACTGATGTAAAAAGTGTGTTTTTCACTTATGCACATAAACAAAAATAGACTACTTGAAAGCAATATTACAAGAGTTTAGCAAATCATTCCTGTTTCATTCACTCACAGCAAAATCTATAATTGGGTATGATGTTCTTTGCCCTTATCTCTAATGTACAATTAACATTCTTATGAAAAGAAACAGGCTCCCCTTTCTTAAAAACAAACAAATAAACAAACACATTTGACAGTGTGAATTAAATTGGACCCTTATGTTTGTTTGAAAGACTTCATGTTTAAGATACTTAATCTGATATCCCAATAATGAGAAGTTCAGACAGCTATTTAGTTTGAGCATTTGATTAATGTATTTAATATGTTAATATGTCATATTACCTTTGTAGATGAACCAACTAGTCCTAGTATTTTCCTGCTTCTGCTGTTATTTCCGCATCTGCTTCTCAAGCACCGGCTATAACAACTGTTCCTCCCAGTCCCACATCTCCAATCCCTTTAATTCGGCGGCAGCTTTCACATGATCATGGTGAGTGTTGATTTAATTTTTTTTCTCATGCAACTTTTTCCTTTTATGCTCTGGAAAACAGGAGTGAAAACTGTAAACTCTTTATTGCTTGAAATAAATTGCAAAAACGTGATTCAGGTTCTTACACACTCAAAAATTTCTGTTTGTTTGTAGAATCCATCCGGCCTAGTGTCCTGGATAGCCAGCCTGCTGCAAAAACTGAGAGATCAAAATCATATGATGAAGGACTGGATGACTACAGAGAAGAGGGAAAATCGTAAGTTCATGAAAATATCAGTTAATTTGGATATCTGTTTTTTAAAGTGTATAAAATCTCATTTTAACATTTGTTTTTCTCCCAACAGATCCATTAAGCATGTATCTAGTTTAAAGGGGATTAAGGTAGGTATATATGTATATAACAACTCCTAAGAATTACACATACTACTGTGACAAGTTGTATGAATTATACAACTCAGTTATACAAAGTGATGCGTTAAACATAGGCATGAGGTTTATTGGAATTGCTACTCATCAAATTGTTCTTGATTTTGATTGGTTCTAATGTTTTTCCCCAATTGGTGCTGTATGCATCACATAAATAAACATGGTCTATTTTTTTTCTAGACTCACCATATCATCCTTGATTTTTCATTTTCCTCAGCTTCTGTAAACAAAACATGTCTATGGCATGCTTTTGTAAAAACTTACTAATGAGAGTCTAAGACTCCTGCAGTTTCTCAAAGTATTCTTGGGATGCGTAAGGTTACTATTGTTATATGGAAACTTTAGAAATGATATTTTCCCAGGGGGATATTCTTAGGGGCTTTTTGCTGAATGAGTTGTCAGCTTTTAAAGAGAGAATCATCTTGAATGTAGGGATTGTAGAGAAATGTGTTTAGGAGTACACTGTGGGGTTCTTTTTCTGATTTTTTTTTTTTTTTTTTCCTTTTTTTTTAGGTCCCAGACAGCCAGAAATCTTCAGAAGACTCTGGTTCCCGAAAAGATTCTTCTTCAGAGGTCTTTGGTGATGCCTCCAAGGAAGGATGGCTCCATTTTCGTCAGCTTGTTACAGACAAGGGAAAGGTATCTGTCATATTTGGTTTTTTAACCTAGCACAAATATTAAGATGGTGGAAACCTACGATAAGAAACTTAAAGCCTTCCTGTTTTGCTTTTTTAATTAAAATTTTTGGGATATGAGCATCAATAAGGCTGACAAAATTTTAGACCTGTTAGAACATTGACTTCAGTGAATTCCTCAGCTTCTTTTACAGACTGCTTTCTGAACTGTCTGCTGAACTTCTGAACTGATAGGATGAGAGGAAATGGCCTCAAGTTGCGCCAGGGGAGGTTTAGATTGGATATTAGGAAAAATTTCTTCACCGAAAGGGTTATCACAAACTGGAACAGGCTGCCCAGGGAAGTGATCAAGTCACCATCCCTGCAAGTATTTCAAAGATGTGTAGGTGTGGTGCTTAGGGACATGGTTTAGTGGTGGACTTGGCAGTGTTAGGTTTACGGTTGGACTCAATGATCTTAAAGGTCTTTTCCAACCTAAATGATTCTGTGATTCCAATGTTACATTTGAAAGCATCTGTGAAGTAAACTCATTTCTATTGACTAAGTAAGTAGTAAGAATCAGTCCCTTGATAATTGTAGTTTGAAAAAAGCTGTTGTTTTTGTGAATGTGGAGTTGAGTTCAGATTCTGCACAAGTATAGACTAACACTTAAGGAAAATTGGGAGTCTGGAATTGCAGTAGTGTGTGAATGTGAGTCTGACTTGAATGAATTTTAAAAGGCATGGGCAAGAGTCCATTAAATATTTTTTACTACATTTGTATTAATGCCTCTGTGAAATTCCAGTCACATTCTGTTTCTTGCTACTGTCGTATGTGAACATACTTAATGGGTGATCAGGGAGGGCAGGCTATTGAGCAATTCACTCCTCTGATGGAGAGCAATTAGTGTACTTTTGTGCAGTCTTTCCCCAGGTCATTCTTAAGAATGGTATAGGCAGGTGGTTAGTCTTTCTTTTTAAGACTTCTGCAGGTAGTTTTTTTAATCCAGAAACATTCATTGTAAGAAATAAGCAAACTAACATATCAGTTGATGTTTTTCAGCGAGTTGGTGGGAGTATTCGGCCATGGAAGCAATTGTATGTTGTTCTTCGAGGTCATTCACTTTATTTGTACAAGGATAAAAAGGAACAAGTGACCCCCTCTGAAGAAGAACAACCTATAAGCATCAATGCTTGTTTGATAGACATCTCATACTGTGAAACTAAAAGGAAGAACGTATTTAGACTCACCACATCAGACTGCGAGTATCTGTTTCAAGCTGAGGACAGAGATAATATGTTAGCATGGATTAAAGCAATACAAGACAACAGCAACTTAAATGATGAGGTAATCATATAATATATAATGCAGAAGCCATAGTTCTTGTCTTTTAATTAAAAATTGATTGTATTTTCTTGTAATTAATACTTCAACAAAAGAAACTATTTGCCATTAAACAATAGACCAAAATGGTCATACAAGGAACAAAGGAACATACAAGAAAATGAGATGAAAGGCAAGGTAACTGAGTAAATAAATAGAGTTAAAAAAAGCCTGACATACTCATAATAAGAGAGCAGACTTTTGAAATAGGTGAATTAATGTAGTTGCTGATTTGACTAAAGATACACTTTATATTAAACTGATCTGTCAAAAATCCCTAATCTTTTTTAAAAGATAATTGCAGTGTTAGAACAAATGTTTTCTCTCTTCAGACTTGCACTGCGAAGTGGTGTGTGCAGTGGTACAGTGTGATGAGTTTCTCAGTAGTTAAAAAGTGAAACTTTGAAGGACACCTGTTTCTCTGGTTAAATGTTGATGTTTCTATGAATTAAATGTTAATGCTAATTACGAAAGGCAAATGTATATTATTGTACATAACATATCAATATCTGTCCCAATATTGTCCTCAGTGCATTTTCTTTTCAGTGATGAGCAACAGAGGAATATTTTCATGTCTGTGGTCGTGCACATCTGCTCAGATTTGAAATAATTATCCAAAGAAAAATGGATTAATAAACATTATTGGATGGATGGATAAAAGCACATTTGAATTCATGGCTGTTTCAGCTGTATGTGTAGTAGTAATTAGTTATATAAGTACTGTGTGCACATAGGATTGGATTTTTCAGAGTAGTAGGGTGTGTTGACTTGCATGTTTTCTATTTAAACTTACTTTCAATTTAACAGGATTTAATAAGATTGTATTGCTTTGAAAAAAGTCTAAGTAGCAGCATTTAATTTGTAATTACTCACTTTAGTTTTCCTCATGGTTTTTAAGTGTTCTGTCCTTATTGTTCTCAAGGACTGCCTGTTAGTTGGTGGGGTTTTTTTGTTTTGTTTTGTTTTTTTAACTGTACTGAAATGTTCATTTTTCGTATGCGGTCTGTTAACAGGAAGAGTTATCGTATTCTTAAAGTAAAAAATATTTGTTGTATTTTATAAGATTGTAAATTAGATCTCAATTCGTTTTATAGGATACTGGTGTCACTAGTAGAGATCTGATTAGCCGAAGGATTAAAGAATACAGTACAATGATGAGGTAGGTGGATTATATGCTGCCAGTAGTTTTTGTAGACTTCTTACCTAGCTTTTTTTTTACTTGAAGTAATATATCTTGTTTCAGTTCTTCAAGCAGCAAAACAGAACCATCTCCCAAAACACCTCGCCAGAGTCTAAGTATCAGACAGACTCTGCTTGGAACTAAAGCAGAACAGAGGACCCAGAGTCCACATTCTCCTAAGGACGAGTCTGAAAGGAAGCTTCTCACTAAAGGTCTGTACGTTTTGTGTATTTCTTTAGTTCCTTATAGCCCTAGTGTGAGGCCATTGAGGTGCCTTTCTCAGGTTTTTCGAACTCATCAATGTACAGATGCAAATCAGGTATTAACCAGGTTTTTTTAAGCTGCGGCTATAATCACTTCTTTCTTGTGACTACTTCATTTAGATGTTATCTTAGATATACTTCAGGTCTTCTGAGATCCCTGAAGCTTCTTATTCCAGTCCTCTCTCAAGAGGGTTTTAGTTTTTTTTCCTACAGCTCCATGTAGTGTTAACAGTAGTAAAATACAGGTGTTATGCTTCTTGTGACCAAAATTTTGCCAAGCTTTGGAAATAATTTTGCGTGTAATTCATACTTTTGTCTCTAGCTGACTTGGAAATAACAAGGTAAATTCATATTTTAAATATGCTGTTAAGAAACTAAAGTTTTCCACTGAAGTGTTTCGGAAGTAGAGAAGAATATTTTTTTTTCTTTATCTTTAAAATAGAGGAGTGAAACTGTATTATTTTTTTCCAGAACAAAATTAATGCCTGCTGAGTTCTAAAAATGCCTGAGTTGGCATTACAAACTTAAATCAGTAACTGAACTCCATCAAATAATGTCACAAGCTACTTTTTTTTTCAGAATGTGTAAAAGTATGGTATTTCTGATTAGACTGTGCTTGTAAGGATGTTGCATACAAATTCAGGCAACTGGCTGAGCAATCGCTTTTGACCACTTTTGAACAATTCAGTCTTGAATTTAAGCTGTGAGCAAATTCTGTTTTGTGTTACCAACAAACGTCCCTTTGGTCCTGCTATGCTGCATATTATGTAACTAAACTGCAGATGTTAAGTAAATGTCAAATCTGCTGAAAGAATATTTCCAGAAATACTTGAATAAGAAGGACGTACAATGGTATTAGGCGACTTGCAGTACAGGATAAATGGGAATTGTAATTGCTACATGAATTGTATAGGAGAGGTAAACAGAGAAACTGAACTTTTAATCTGATTTTTGGATTGATAATACTTTTAAGTGTTTGAGTCCTGTTTGGAATGATTTAGGAGTGATTAAAATCTGGTAATTTTTGAAAGAGTGAGTAGGTCTGCACAAGTGTAAGCATGGCTGTATAGTTTCATAGGTATTTTGTGCAGCAGTGTGTTCAGTAGAATAAATCTTGCTTTATTAAATGTAGATTTTAATTTTTTAAAATGTAATTTATGTATCTTTAGTCTCAAAATGATGAAATTCCACAGTACCATTCAGCTACTTGCTTTTCTAAATCTGGGGTGTGAGTATGTTCAAATGTATCTTTCAAATCACAAAAGAATAAAAGAAGGTATGTTTAAGACAGACTAACGTTTAGTGTGGGAAGCTGGGCCAGTAAAAGAGGTAAAAATGCAGTAGGTGTCACTTGATCTTTGCAAATCTGTTACCTATATGCACAGTAGTTTTTGTGACTTAAATGCTCTTATTTTCCTTCTTTATCTCCTTGTTTGCATTATACTAACAAAAAAAGATGAGACAAGCCCACCAAAAGACAAGGGGACGTGGAGAAAAGGCATTCCAAGCATTATGAGGAAGACATTTGAAAAGAAGCCATCTGCTGTAGGAACATTTGGTGTTAGACTAGATGACTGCCCCCCAGCTCATACCAACAAAGTATGGAAGGACAATTTTTCTTTTCCACTGTGATTTTAAAATATTTTTTATATTAATCACTTTAAAATGTACATGTAACTCTTCTTTTTTTTTCAGTATATTCCACTGATTGTTGATATATGCTGCAAACTGGTTGAAGAAAGAGGTCTTGAGTACACAGGTATTTACAGAGTTCCTGGAAATAATGCTGCCATCTCAAGTATGCAAGAAGAGCTCAACAAAGGAATGACTGACATTGATGTTCATGATGATGTAAGTCTTCGATCGTGCTATTTCCAGGTTGAACTCCCAAAAACTTCTAGTTGTGTTGTGATTATAGAAATATAAAGCATGTCTGTCCTTTTCTTCTAAATGTGTAGAAATGGCGAGACTTGAATGTGATAAGCAGTTTGCTGAAATCCTTCTTCAGAAAGCTCCCAGAACCCCTTTTTACCAATGGTAAGTTGTTTACGTTATGATCTTGTCTTTAGGAATTACTGTTGAACAGTTGTCTTACATCTTTCAGATGATTTGAGAGAAAATCTAGTGGAATCATCCTAACTCTGTAATAAATGCCCTCTTTCTTCCTTAAAGAGCAGGGAGTCGTGGTGATCATAGAGCTTAAGAATGAGAGCTGCAAATAGAATTTCTCTGATGGTGAAGGAATTATGAATTTGCAAAAGAACTGAGTAAAATTTGCAGTTTTACTGTTGCAATGTTCTATGAAAGCTGGTTTTTTTATCCTACTGCCATCTTATATTATATACAATATAATGGGCTAATTTGTGACTTCCAAAGGTCATTCATATATATGTGTGTGTGTGTGTGTGTGTTACCTGTATTTGGGGGGGGGGAGGGGAGGGTGTATATACATAGTATACATACATATATATATAAAAAACCTCATATATATATATACACGATTAATTGCTGCTTTTTTAAACAGACAAATACGCAGATTTTATAGATGCTAATAGAAAAGAAGATCCTGTTGAACGTCTGAAAACACTGAAGAGACTGGTAAGCTGAAATCAGGTGTGTTGTAGGTGCACTACAAAATTAGCATTAAATGTTTGATGTTCTGAATAGTGATGTTTGTTTCAGATTCATGATTTACCTGAACATCATTATGAGACTCTCAAGTTTCTTTCTGCACACCTGAAGACAGTAGCAGAGAACTCAGAAAAGAACAAGGTATCAGAAAGAAAAGCGTAATGTTTTTTGGTTTGTTTCATTCGTTAAGTACAGGTTTTGTGCAGGATTATTTCTATTAAGGTGATAATTTATCATTGTAGATAAAATTAAGACCGTTGCTATGTTGAGAAGATTTTTGGATTAGACTAAGGACTCCTGCAAAATACGCACCTATTTAGTGTGAATTAAGTTTATTCAAACTGGTATTAATTCTTGTGGGAATAACTGCTTATATCCTAAATTTATCCCAAGTCTGTAAATTTCATGTAGTCCCATCTAGACGCCAGTAAGAGTGTGCCTGGGCAGGGCACAGGTGAATGTCTGTGGCCTGAATGAACCTGTTGACAGAGGCTGTCGTACCGGCTTTGTGTGAAGCCTGGCTTCCTGGATGCTCGAGTAATTTTTAAGACTAGGACTTGCTGTAATTACTTGAATGTTTGATGACCTCGTAGAGGCTGGTTTGACTGGTTTTAAGAAGAAAACTAATGATGTAAATGGTGGTAGTTCACCACTACAGGGTCTTAGTCCACCACTAAGAATAGCTTTTTGTCATTTCCATGGGGTGGGGTAGAGTTAGTTTGCATTAAGTGCTTCTGTGCATGCTATAATCCTACAGTAAATGCAAATAATAGTATCCCCTTTTTTTACCTCTCAGGGGAGGGGTAGCTGAATGCAAAGCTGTGCACAATGTGGGTGTGCTTATGGATGCTTACCTCAGGGCAGGTAACATGGTGGCTTGTTACTTGGCTACCAATGTGCAGGGTACAGGAAAAAAATTGATGTGATTGATGCTATATAGAGGAAGCCATGGCCAATCTTAAATCGTTTAAAAGATCAGAAAATGACTCGGTTCAAATGAATATGGTAGGTTCCAACATCAGTTCTGCAAATAATACCGTGTGGTTAAATATGAAAGAAAAATATGTTTGTGTGTATAAAAAATATTTAACAAATTACAACCTTTAGGGGAATTATAGCTGACGCTATAAGGAAATGACAGTAAATGTCGTTTTTAAGTGCAATGCATAAAGTAAACCTTTATTTATTTTATGGTTTTGGTGCACTGTATAAATGTTGTTTAAATAATATTTATATTATAGAATATATAAGGCTAGATGATTGAGGTGATATTATAATTGTATGACTTGTCAAAGGCAATATTCAAGTCAAAGTCAGCATTAGGGGCTTGTGTCATTATGTTTGCAACTTCCTTCTGGTAAGTCTCCTATATATTATTGGTCTATTCTATGTCACAACAGTAAACTATAAGTCAGAGAAGTAAGGAAAAATAGAAAGTAAGATTCTGCTGCTGCTTTCTTGGAATTATTTTTCAGAGATGTAACATTAAAAGTAAGTTAAGTGGATGACTAATGTTGTAACATGATCGGATAACTCTGAGTCTGTCTTATGAATAGATGTGTTGGGTCTATGATGTTGGTTGCTGCCACCTCCTCCAAAGTAGTTGCAAATTGAATGAGCTCTTTGTCAGTAGATATAATACAGTATTTGATTACCAGCTTAATTTCTTCATGTGTCATGTAAACATTTTCAGGAAAAAAACCAGGGAACTACCAATGCCTTTTTATAAAAAAATAATTTCTTAAAACATCAGTGTTTCTAAACAAAATAGTTTTTATGGGAAGAAAAAAAATCCCCTGAAAGTGTAAAGAATATATCTGAGTCCTTGAGTTTTCTATTCTTGTGGAGCTATTTACTTGCAATGGGTTAAGGAAGGTTGAATTCTGAATTGCAAAAATACTGGATGCATTTATTGCAGCTGTGTGTAGGAGAGTTCTAGTGTAGTGTAACATCCTATCTGAGTCAGTTATATGTTTTTAAAAACCTTTTCTTTGTTCGTATTTAAAATGGTTCTCAGATATTAATAATGTTATATTAATGTACTTAGCTCATATTATTGTATTTTCTCATTATAAATCTATGATGTGGAAATATTTAATTTCTTAGATGGAGCCAAGAAACCTGGCAATAGTATTTGGTCCAACACTCGTGAGGACATCTGATGATAACATGACACACATGGTTACGCACATGCCAGACCAATATAAAATTGTAGAAACACTCATCCAAAAAGTAAGTGGACGCATTTCATTATTTAAAAAATAAGATCATACGCAGATCGACCAGCTTTTCTCTTATTGGGCCAGTTTGGGTCTGGTATTTATCCTTCAAACTCCAGGATATCATTTTTAGTAATGTCCATGTTTGATTGTTCCACATTTGCATTTTGTGTTTCCTGTGGGGTTTTCACCTTTTTTATTTTAAATTGTAGCATGACTGGTTTTTCACAGAAGATGATGCTGAAGAACCTCTTGTAAGTATTGTGTCATAAATATTTGTGTTCTAATTATCTTAGTTTAGAATCTGCTTCTGCTGCCTCTAGAATGTCTATGTATTTCTTAATACATCACTTTACGGTTTGCTCTTCAGAAGCATCTTTTTAGCTCTTTGGTCCTTGCAGTAATTAATTTAAAAAAAAAAAAAAAAAAAAAAAAAAAGCCATGCATTTGTTTTAAAAGCGTAAAGCAAAAAGGGGAAATAGAACATGTGAGGAAGGCGTGTCCTCAGGTGAATAATGCAATTTTCTAAATGCTGTTGAATCGTAATGAACTATTTGTGAAACGATGATGAAGAGATCTTTGTTTATTAACTATAGACAACAGTTCAGGAGGAAAACACTGTAGAATCTCAGCCAGTGCCAAACATAGATCATTTACTCACCAACATTGGAAGAACGGGAGTATCTCCTGGAGACGTATCAGGTAACTCTTGCCCGGACAGTGTTAGTCCATAGGCTAGAATAACCTACTCTGTTAACTCACTGTAACTCTCTCTTCGTATTTTCTTTTACTAATAAACTGTTTTTCTCTTTTCCAAAAGATCATTAACACTTCTTAAAGACTTGAATTGTTGATAATCATGCATGATATAATTTGGAAAACTTTGTTGTCTAACAGAAATATAATCATTAAAAGATGAGGCTTGCACATACTATTTATTTATTCACAGTAACCCATGCAATCATCATCGTGCGGTGAAGCAGATATGCTGCTGTAAAGTGGTTTGTTGTGATGGCAGAAAGACTGATCTTCAGTGGTGTTCTAATATTGCTCCTTCCCAACGTTAGGAATGCAAAAAATTGAGTTATGTTTTCTTGTCAAGTGATGGACACTTTAATAAGTATGTTGCAGTATGTCTATACTAAAGCTGATTTCCTTCTGTTTATAAATGCCATCCTCTTTTGTGGCTAAGGACAAGCATTGCAGGCTCTTTTTTGGTGACTTTTTTCCCCCTCCCTTCACTATACTATTGCACTAACCCAGCATGTTGTACCCCACAAATGTTATCCCTTCGTCTCTAGCTTTTGTTTCAGTTTTCAAAGGGTTGTTCAGCACTTACTGAAACAGTCACTTTATACTGATGTTGTAACAGGCGAAGTGGGAGGAGTCTATCACACGGTGATGTCATTAGTGGATTCTGTGATGTCACTGATGGACAGCTGGAACTGTAGGAAGAAGGAGGACTGTTGCCCACACTGTAGCTGCCTTGTCTGCAGAAACCCCCGTTTCTTGTAAATGGAAAAAAAGGAAGTTGATCTGTGCTGTAAATTTTCTTTTAAGAGTATTTTAAACAGATCAATGCTACTTTTTAAAAGTTTTTCTGCTGTTTCTTGTTATCTCTGAAGCAGACCCTGAGGAGAAATAGCATGGTATGGTCTACCAGTCTTTCTAGTCATAAAGCATTAGCCATGTGTCAAAAAGGGGTGTGGCAGGGGGCTCAGCTCTTTCTTCCTAGGGAGAAAGTCCCTAAAGCTGGAACACAGCCAAGTTCATATTTTTTAGTCATTGTGCTAGCCCCTTCCTACCCCCTTTGTAATTGTATAATCTTGGGTTTTGCGAGACAGTAAAACTATGGTGTCCATTTTTCATTTCATAATAGCGCTTGTTACAGAAAAGTACAAAACTGGTAGCTGCTGAAATCTAGCCAATTTAAAAATAAAATTTTACCTATACATAGTCAGAGGTGGAGAGAGATATATAATTGGGGTTTTACACACAAAATACGACTTAATTCCTTTAAAACCTCACAAAAAGAATATGACTACATGAACCATGATTTGTACCTAGGGCAGCCAACAGTACTAAGACATTCAATTTTGCTTTGTGTATCCTGAATCTCAGGAGAGTACACAGTATGATCCTGAAAAGGTCTCTCAGCTGCGGTTTTGCAGGGGCTGTTTACTTAAAACATCGAATAAACATTAGTATTTCTGTTTTTTATTTAGAAGAACAGGGCTCCTTTGCCATTCCTATCATTGAGCTGGTTCTGCCTACAATTCACAGCATCCTTTCATGGCGGTGGCTTTCTGTGGTGCAGCTTGCATCTTTGTGAGCTCTGACTATTCACTCTGTTCTGGTTTTTATTTGCTTCACATTTTGTTCTGTGCTTGTCTTTTTCCATAAGTCCAGCATTGTCTGTAGCAACAATGAAAAAATTGCACAGAACTGAGCAGAATTGTTTTTTTTTAATTTTTCCACAGATTCAGCTACTAGTGACTCAGCAAAATCTAAGGTAAATTATTTTGTGAAATGATGTAGTTACAAGCTTCTGAAATCTGTTAGATATTTGCTTGCTTTATTAAAACGTTTATATGCAGATGTACTATAGAGCTTACGTAGAGTTTTTTGAATAAGTGGTAATACTGTTTTCTCATCAAATAATTTTAAAGTATTACACTGGAAAACTATCACTTGTTTGCAGTTAACTGCATCTGCCAAAGCAGTCAGCTGCACACATAAACAGCTTTGTTCCAAACTCTCGTAATTGTGAGCGCTTATCTCCTTTTTTTTGCATCTCATTTAATAGAGGTAAATGTACATAGTATGTTCCCTGTTACTGTTAGCATACTACTTACTCCCGGACAGTATTTGTGTTTCCTTATTTCGCTGAGAAAAGTATACATAGAATTTAGCCTTTTCTTCTTCAGAAGGTAATAGCTCCTCCTCTTATAGGAAGCCAAACGTTGTGGTTAAAGGTTGCTGAGCAAAATCTCCCTAGGAAGTATTGCTGTGCTTGGGAGGACAGCCTAGGAGGTAGGGGGAATAAGACTGGAACATGGGCAATAGTTCCGTCCTCAATTTAACGCCAGAGTTCTCATCTGACCCGCGGACAAATCTTTCAGTCTCTTAGGCTGTTGTTCAGTAGTTGCTAACACTGGATGTCTGTAGTACTGGGTGATACGGCAGCATGTAGCTGACCTCAGTCAGCTGTGAGCGCATGACACAGCTTTATGGTGGTGTGCATTCTAGGTGTATCACTGATGCCCTGCTTTGAGCTGAGAACAGGACTTAATGCATCCTCCTGCTTCACTGTGGAGATGCCAGCCCAGCTGTTTTGTGAGGATGCTTGGTGGCTCAGCCGCTGCCTTAAAAAAGCCCAACATCCAGGACACCATGTCACATTGCCTGTGCCAGGACAGCGTGCTGTTTGCAGGTTGCCTCTCACTGACCACCACCTGTGAGCACCACAAAGCAACAGCATCAGTCAGGCCACGGTGATGGGCCTGCGAGCAGTGGTGCAGGATGCATGCAGATTGCCTGGGCCAGGAGCCTGCTTACTGCTCAGCCAGCCCTGCTTGCAGCACGACGTGTTCCAAGTGGAGCTCCAGCTGGCTGCATTGCTTGATATCCTGCTCAGTGAGAAGGACATGTACCTGTTCCCAACCCATGGAAAAAAATGCACAGAGCTCACCCATCCTTTATGGGGACAGTAGCTAATGCAAGAGTGACACTTGAGTAGCAAGAAGAATTGCTGTGGTCGCTTGGAAAATGGTAGGCCCCAACACCCAGTGGTCCATTGCCAGTCAGCATTGGATTGGCGCTTGTCTGCTGGCACAGCAATTCAGAGCTGTCATCTGCTGTCCAGAAGGTTCTTTGTCCGCGCTGCCTATAGGCAGTCATTGTGCAGGAGGCCAGGCAGTCACTATAGGTAGTCGTTGTGCAGTCCTCTCAGATGCTTGTTTCCCTAGGGGCTCTCAGCAAGACTTAATGCATGTCTTCTGCCTACCCTGTCCTGATCTCTGAGCTCTGCATCAAGAACATGGGATATTCTCCATCATGCAGCAGGAGTTTCTAAATAACCATGAATATTTTTGTTACTGTTGGTTGAGTAAAAGTTTCTCCCGACTCTTCCCTGTCTATGTTCATGTAAACAAATCAGTGCACCTTCGCTGAGGCTGTCATGGTCAATATAGCCACTGTAATATTGTATGGCTGTTTGACCTTGGCTTGTGAAGTCATATAGTGGCAGTTTTCACCATTGCCAGCACCTCTAGCACCTCTTTGATTTCTGAAGAGATAGTGAATAGGAATGAAATTTGCACCAAGAAGTTGTTTGAGCAAAAATATTAAATGCACTGTATCTGTTCAGTGCTTTGCTTTGTATGGTCAGTGCATTTGTGCTGCAGTAGTAGGCATCCTGCGACAGTTCACTGTCACATGGGGGCTGTGATTCTGTGCTCATGGAGCAGAGAAGTATCTTGTTGGACAACAGCTGAGTAGTTAGATGATGACTAGTATGCATTAGCTTTCCTTTATCCTTAGGCTTATTCTTTGTAGGTATCTGGAATCACTATATGGTCCTTTCAGTAATGATGTCCCAGCTTTTTTGTTAAAACTGTTACCATGATGATAGCTCTTCCCCAACTTTTCCTCTCCCTCTCTGAAGTGCTGCATGGTAACAAATGATTGGGATTTCAAAGACTTTTTGAGCATAGCCCATCACTGCTGGTCTGCTTCCCTTGGGTCAGAGAGGCAGGCTGGACATCTGAACATGGACTTAAGGTAGCTGACACCTAAGCTGCTGTTGTTGCACCTTAGACAGATGTCAAATTTCAGTCCCACTATGTTGAAGGCCCCCGAAGTGAGCAGCTGCCCTTTTCAGTAGATATCATTGCTGTGTTCTTTTCTTGAAGTCTGCAGTGTGCAAACCGCACTGGTCAGCAGTCAAAGACAGGGTGGTACCTGCCCCAAACCTCCTGCTTCTTTTAAAGGTGGCAGTGGGGCAGTAAGCAGGAAAGGTACATAGCTTTGAGGTAGCTAGGTGGTAATGTTGTCAGTGTAGTTGAAAAATACTTTTTAATGAATTTTATAAAATGGAATAATTGGGCTTGTCCCATTTTTGCTTCTGTGCAGTTCTAAAGGCAGATTCCTCAAAAGGCAGGAAGAAGTTTATTTCTGTTAATTTCCTATACTTGCACCTAAATTAAGGTTTTCTATAGCTTTTATTGTACTGGTACTATTGAATCGATATGGTTTAAAAACTCAGACACCCTGAAAGGTGAAAGATCAACTGAAAAATAGTTGGAGAAATTAGCCTTTCCACATAGGTAAGGACACTTTGAAAGGATGGACTGCAACCACACTCTTGGGACCTCATCTGTGAAGCAGTTTCTGTTGCAAACGAATCTTGAACAGGTTGTCTTGCCGTAATGGAGCCTGCTTTACTAGTCGATCAAAAACTAAATAGTTGTATATACAAAATAGTCTTTGTCAAGTTAAAGGGATTCAGATGAAGAGTGGAATTCTCAGGATGAAAATTGACTTCTTGGGCAATGTCATGTAGACTATAGAAGGAGCATGGAAATATTTCCTGAATAAAGATACACTTTCTGCTCTGAAGCCTGGGATATGTTTTTAAAAAGTCTCAGGCTAAGAATGTTTCTTTGTGATTTCTAATCATGCCCTCTCCTTTTTTCTTTTCTTCTTCTTTTTTTTTTTTTTTTTTTTTTTTTTTTTTTTTTTTTTTAACAGGGTTCTTGGGGTTCTGGAAAGGATCAGTATAGCAAGGAACTGCTTGTGTCCTCCATTTTTGCAGCAGCTAGTCGCAAGCGGAAAAAAACAAAAGAGAAACCACAACCAAGCAGCTCAGAGGACGAGTTGGATAATGTGTTTTTCAAGAAGGAGCTTGCAGAACAATCTCGTGGTGACACAACAAAAGAGGACATAGCTAAAGGGGAATATGAAAGAGAGAGAGACATAGGGAGAAAACAGAGGATGTTTGTCCTGAAGGAAAAAGAGAACAGCAGTAAAAAAGATGTGAATGTTGTAAAGGACGAAAAGAAGGCATTAAAGAAAGAAAATACCCTGTCAGAGGAACCTTCACTGCCTTACCATGACAAATGTACAAAATCACCGAATCTCAGCTGTCTGCAAACCACGCAGAAGAATAACCCAAAAATGTCTATTTCACAATCTTCTTCCCAGGTTGAGGAGACAGTGTCTGACTCCGGCACTATGCTTAGCACTTCCTCCCAGGCTTCCCAGCACAGATACTCATGCAAAAAAGTAGCCAGCCCTGAAATTAAACACAATGAGTTTTTAGCAGCTGATGTCAGTTCCATCACCTCAGATTATTCAACTACTTCATCTACTATATATTTAACTGGTTTAGATGCCAGTATGCTGAGCCCTGAGGTGCAGTCGGTGACAGAAAGCAAGGGAGAAGATGCTGATGATGAAAGAAGTGAATTGATCAGTGAAGGGCGTCCTATGGAGACGGACAGTGAAAGTGACTTCCCTGTCTTTGCCACCAGTGCTGCTGCTGAACGGCTGTCCAAGGGGAAAGTTTCAGAAGTGGTAAAGACCAGTCGGAGGAACTCTGAAGAAAGCGAAGTAAGTTGTACTGAGGGAAGTTCAACACCAAAGTTAGAGAGTCGCAGACTTTTTAGCTCACACAAACTTATTGAATGTGATACACTGTCTAGGAGAAAGTCTGCACGGCACAAAACGGACAGTGAGGGTTCAGGGGATGCAAAGAGTGAGAAGGACTTGCCTACTGTGACCAAAATGTTTGACATAATGAAAAAAGGAAGATCGACAAGCAGTTTAGCTACATCAGCCAGAAGTGAGGCTGACAAACAAGAACCTACCTGGAGACTTAAAATTACAGATAGGTTAAAGCTGCGACTCAAATCATCTGCAGATGACATGTTTGGAGTTGGGAATCAAAAAGCTAACTCTGCAGAGACTGCAAAGAGAAGAAATATCAGGCGAAGGCATACTCTTGGAGGACAGAGGGATTTCGCTGAAATAAGTGTCCTGAATGCTTGGAAAGCTCAAGAGCCAAGTCAAAGTAGAGAGAAAGAATCTGAGCTTTCAGCTGTGAATCGGTTGAAGCCAAAATGTCCAGCACAGGACCTCTCGATCTCAGACTGGCTTGCACGAGAACGTTTACGCACTAGCACAACTGACCTTAATACGGGTGAAACTGGAAAGCCCAGACTTGAGAACACTAGCTTAGCAGATATATCAAAGGTAGATCTGCCTTTATCTGCAGAGATGCAGGCAGATGAAGGCAGTTCTTCCAGCAGCTTGACTATAATTAATAGAACACCACCTTTGGGACCATTTCAGCCACCAGACCAGGTAAATGGTGAAAATTATCAGAATATGAACAAAAACAACTTTAGCCCAGCAGTTGATGCCCATCCTCATAAACTGTCTGGGACCCAAGTGGTTAGATCTCGATTCTACCAGTATCTTTGAAATGGGGAAATATGTCCACTACAGCAATTCATTAACTTACTGTTACACTTCCCAGTAACTGTAGTGTATGTGTGTGTGTACATATATATATATATATTTTCCTGTACTGTTGTTGTTATGCAGCCTTCATTTGGGCTGGTTTCATCAATATGCTCTGTGGAACGTCTTCACAGTGCATTACCACAGCCAGAAGAACACTAAAGTTAAAGTATATATATATATTTTAAGAAAAAGTATATTTGATGGCTGCATACAAATGTTGAACAAAGCATCTGATGCAACATGCTGTGTAGTGTATACATGGTTTTCTGACTGAGAGTTGGCCTGGCATTAGTATGCAGAAAAATTGTTCTTTTGGTTTAGTCACTAACAAGTGCCTCATCATAAATTCATTTGGTTTGTTAGGGTGCCATATTGTTAAATTAGAGAAACTTATTACAAACAAATGAATGCATTTTACTGTTAACGAGTTTCATTACATTTTACAAATGTTAACACAGGTGGCTACAGAGCTTCCATTCCTTAGGCATTCCAGTAAATATTGGAGTTTTATATTTCCAATTTTAATACAGATTTTGAGTTTTATGTGACTTGAATTTTTAATCTTTCTGTAAAATAAGTAACTTAAATGTACATATTACATGTGTATCTTTTCTTCAGATACCAGATTTGATATAAATGTTGTAACATAGGCGTGTAGATAGTGGATACTGGATGGAACTGGTTTCTTTTACTGAGAATATAATTCTGCATGAAGACCTAATGAATCCAAACCTGTATCATGCCTGTGTGCATACCCACTTAAACACTGGAAATAAAATTGTTTTGGTGACTCTTTGCGTGATGTGAATTCATTCTAATGAAGAGTTTAAAATGTCATGTTTACAAGTTGCAGTCGGCAGCTGCCCTCGGGATCATGAAACCTGCAGTTGCTCCTGGAAGAAGGGCGCTTCTCTTCAAAGTCTTGTTTGTGGGACAAGACCATGGAGGTTAGCATATGGGGGGGGTCAGTTGTTTAAATATTTCCAGCTTGATATATAATCTGATTCTGAGATATGTAGCAAGTTGGTTTATGTTTAATATGCTGGTTTTGTAGCACTGAAAAAAATATGTCCATAATCGTCCCCAAGTCATAAAGAGTGAATACCAGTATCTGCCAGTCAAAACATTACTGTACTATGGGTCTTGGGCTTCTTATAGTTTTAACTATAAAGGTGAGTTTGTACACTAAAAACCCTTCTGTGTGTGAACTCTCTACCAGTTATATTTTTTTTCTTCTATTTTCTTGCATACCCACTTGAAAACAAAGCAGCTGTTCATCACTTTGGGTATTCCCAGGTCTTACACTGTCACTTGCTTGGCAGAGGATTAAACCTGTATTGATGATAAATAAGCAATGAACATCATGAGCATAGAAAAATTTACGCATGTGTCCTGTTACTGAGAAGAAAAGGAATTATAGTAACTAGGATGTGTAGGTTGCAAGCAGACTTTGTTTCTTTCCAAAGTGACTGTAACAGTCCTATGCTTTGATCTTTGTGAGAAGTTGTTATAAAAATTGGCTGTGAAGAAAAGCATCGGATATGACAGTTGAAGATCTGTGGAAGTTCTCGCCGCATAATTGCGTGCATCTAGTACCAATTCACATGAAAATGAATCATGTTCTTGTGGTCTCCTTGCAAACTACAATGTCTTTCCCCCCTAGAGCGAACAGGAAGCGGGTGCTTTAGCACGTTTCTGAGTGCAGTACGAGGAAGAATGGGTATGTTTTGTGAAACAGAGTAATTCGTGATGATTTTTGTTTCAGTCCTAATAGTAAAGTGTATTTGAACAAGAGATTTTGAAATACGGTGTTGCAATGCCTCTGTAATGCTATTCATTAGCAAATACCCATCATCTCTTACTGGGTAAGATACGGTATTTTGTCCCATCATTAGCCTCAGAAGCTTGTTAGAGCGTGTTCAGCATCCACAATAGGTCGCAGGGATCTTCTCGATGAAGCAGTGTACTTACAGAGGTACATAAGGGGTCCTGGGGGTCTGCGTCTTACTCCGATTTGACAGCCATTTTGATGGATCAAGTTGATTTTCATTTTGTTGTGTTTATAGATAACATGATTTTAACTCCTGAGTCTAGATGTATGGCTGCCAACTCATGCCTGAGAACATAGAACTCTTATTGTATTGACTGAAATAGAGCACAAGACCTCTTGAAAAACGAGGAACTAAAAAAAAAAACCACCCAAACAAACCAAAAAAACCCCAACAAAAGCCAAACCCCACAAAACAGGAATTGTATTGGCTAACAATGCTACAGGTGCAAATTTAAGGCCTCGGCAGCCTCCATGGTATCTTCTGCTGCTGCACTGGCTGCATGGAAGCTGCAGAGCAGTTGCAGAAGGAGCTTGGACAAAAGTCAGGGATGTCCGTGGGGGTGTAAGAAAGGGATTACCGCAGTTCAGACCACCACTGCCTTGCCCTTTCCATGTAAATCGGGTCTTGGGGGAGATAACCTGGCAGGCAGAGTGGGAGGAAAGGAAGCTCTGGGGAAGCACTTGACTTGAAGGGGAGATGCAGGGAGCAATCTGTCAAGTGCATCAGGGAGAGGTGATTACTGAGCCCCACCTGAAGAAAGTAGCATGTGGCAGTGTACCTGAGGCTGGGAAAACACTGATGCTTCTTCTGCTCTTTGAAGACTGCCAAGATTTGGGGCCACCTTAAATTCTGGCCAGCGTGGCAGTTGAGATGACAGATTTTTAGGAGCCATTGCTATGCCCTGTTCTTAACAGCAGCTACTTTAGACCCCTTACATGTGGTGCTTTTTTATTCTTTCTTTTTTTGTTTTGGGTTTTGGTTTGTTGGTGGTTTGTGGGTTTGGTTTTTTTTCCTGTGTGTGTTTTTTTTGGTTTTTTCCCCTCCTGCTCTGGAACAGAAGCATGTCAGTCTGATTGACAGGAAGGGAAACGCGTGCAGTGACCTGCCCTGAGGTGAATACTGTTAGTGCCAGTATTTCCTCTGGAAGCTCGC